ATCCCCGGGCCCAGGGGGTCGCCCCCTGCTCGGCCTCCTTCCGAGCGCCAGGGGCCTCGGAGACGCTGGGTCCACAGGTTGTCCCCCGGAGGGAAGGCCCAGCGGGCTGGGGCCTGGGGCGCGCCCTTCCCTCGGCCCGGTCGACTTGGGGCGTCACCGACGGGGGGGCGTTTCCCGAGACCACTGGGGATCCCCCGAGGCTGGGTAGCCGGAGGCCCGGACAGACGGACCCCCGGGGCTGCGCGCCCGGCGGCTGCGGTCGGACGGGAGAATCTCGCCCGCGGAGCAGCTTTGAGGAACTGCCGCACTTTGCGCCCGAGCGCAGTGGGCCACCCGGCCGAGCCCAGGGCAGCGGCGCCACGCTTCTCCCCAGCCCGGCTCTGCGGGTCCCGCGCGCGGCGTCCGCGCCCGGGTCTCCGCGCCGCGCAGCCGGGCAGCCGGGCGCGCCGGGGGTGGGTCCCTCTCCCCAGCCCGGCTCTGCGTGGAAGAAGAGGGCGGGGACCGGCGCGGGGAGGAGAGCGGAGGAGGAGAAGGGGGCATGACTCGTGCAACTTGCGGCGGGCATCCACCGAGCCTCTGAGCCGCCGGCGGCCCGGGGCCGGGATTGCGGCCGCGCCGATCGCACCCAGCCCACCCCGCCCCGGCCGACGGCTACGGCTGCGGCTGACCTGGATCCTCGGAGCGCCCGCCGGCCGGCAGCGATCGACCTTCGTCTTCCGGGCTGGTTTCTGGAGCGCGGGGAGCGCTCTCCTCGCGGCCCCTCTCGCCGGACCCCCGGACCCCGATGGCTCGGATGGGGCTTGCGGGCGCCGCTGGACGCTGGTGGGGACTCGCTCTCGGCTTGACCGCATTCTTCCTCCCAGGTAAGCGCGTTCCGCCTCTGCCTTTTTTACCCCCCCCCCCCCATCCAGTGCCTTCCCGGGGCTGGGAGCTGGATGGCGGGCACGTCTGGGTTATAGGTAGCGAAAGGAGCCAGAAAAGTTGGGTCACGGCTTAGGTAAGGGGGGGTGCGGGTGGCACGGCGGAGAGAGAGGATGAGAAGCCCAACAGCCTGCCCTGCAGGGAAGCGGTCGGATGCACGTCTCTGTGTAGCAAGAAAGCACTTTCTTCCGCTCAGTTTTCACAAAAATAATAATATGTAATAGCGTTCTATTTATTTAATAACCAGCTCTCAGCTCGGGAAGCAGTTTGGAAACACTGTATGTTACATAAATGCAAAATAATCACCGTAATCTCCGTCTCAGGGTATGAGACAACAGCCCCAGGGGGAGGGCGTCAGTCTCTCGGAGGCGGTGGGCTGTGGGTCTGGAGGATGGCAGGGGGGCTTCGTCTCTGTCCCCGGCCCCTTTGCCAGACGGCTCCGCGCGCTCGCGCCTCCTCCCGCCCCACGCAGCCCCACGCGGGCGCCGAGAGCCGGCTCCTGCGTCAGAGACAGCTTCTCGCTCACCTGCGGTTCCTCTCCCGGTGGGTGAGGCCCGGGCCACGCGGGCTCGCAACCTCCCGGCCTTGCGCGGGCTGGACTTCACCTCGGAACTCCACTCCCAGTTTGCCGCCGTCCCCCCCCATCCCCCCCCGCCCAGGAAGCGCCGCGGGCTTGGTGCCAGCCAGGTGGCTGCATGACCCACTTTCCCGAGGATGCCCCCTCGTGTCCTTCCTCCAGGTGCCGGCGGCCGAGGGGTTAACCCGACGCCCGACCCTGGGGTGGCCCGCGGTGGCCCATCTGACGGGTGCGGTGGGGGCGGAGGCTGGGACCGACCGGCGGCGGCGGCGTATTGTGCTGGGGAATGAACTGGAAAATGCGTTTAGGAGGCAAATCCGACCGAGTCCCCTCGCCTCGATTTAACCCTTTGTGTCCCTGGGGAAGCTACCCAGCTCCCACGGTGGCTGGTGACACCAGCGGAGGTTGGGGTGGGGGTGGGGTTCCTCCAGCCCTCTGGGAAGAAACCTGAGACGATCTCCCGCTCCCGCCTGGGCTAGATGGGGTTCTGGCGGGGGAGGGAGGGGGCTTGGCTGGAGCACGTGCTCTGGCCTTAGGGTGGCAGAATAAGGGGTCAGAGTACAGAGAGACCAGCTCCCGCTGGGGCGAGAATACCGGATCGCTGGCAGCGGCCCGTTGGAGATGCCCGTGATGCCGCAGACTCGTAGGCTGGTGTTACCCAGGGGCCAGCCCGGCTGCTGAGTTGCGGGGCTGGGGTGCACCCCTGGAAGGCAGGAACCTGGCCTCATTCAATTCTGTACCCCTTCTGCCACCAGCCTACTGCCAGGGCTCCACAGATCTCGCTGAGTGGCCGATGGCATCGAAAGCACTTTGTAGAGGCCAGCACAACGGTGCCCCCGCCCCTACAGCCTGTGGGGTGCTGCCCTGCTAGGTGTGGGGGGGGAGGGGGCACTGCCCATTTCCAGGGGCCTGACTAGTCCCGTCCCTGGCAGGGTGGTCATGGGGAGTGAGAGGTCTTCCTCTCACACCGGACCTCCTGGGAATCCAGCTGGAGCTCAGGCCCTGCCTAGGACTCCTCTGACCACTGGGGGTTTGGGCTTCTGGGAACCCTTAACTGCACAGTGTCCACACCAGGATTCTAGGGAAAGGAGAGCTTTGGGGGAGCTCTAGTTGGTCTGGCACACCAGGGGTTAACCTAATTCTGGTTGGACAAAGAGTGGGAAGGTTTGGGGGAAAAGAATGAACTCACCCCCATCCTCCCCTCCTTTTGTTGTTCTCTTTCCCCCAGCTTTGTGATACACAGTGGTTAATTCCTTCTTGGGGGGGGGGGTGCCTGCTGGAAGCCTGCCCACTCAGGGAGTGGGGCCAGGGAGATGGCACTCCCACCTGACTCAAGTGTAGACACTACCCCCCACCAGAAATCCAGATTGAGGGGTAGGATGCAGACCTAGAACCCCAGCTCAGACAGGCACTTCATAAGCACTCCTCAATTGGCTGTCATTGTCATGGCTGGCTGGCATCAGGGGCAGCCAGAATTCCCCGGGTCGGCCAAGCTCCTGTACCCTGAGCTGGTGCCCCTGGTCCCCTGCAAAGGGAGGCAGGGGGTGTGGTGGTGCCCATCTGACACTTGGATGGAGGCTGGTAGGCTCAGAAGTTGCCTGCCCACACCCCACTTTCTACCCCACCCCACTCCC